TTTTCACATCATTCATGTCTTCATACATGTACTTAGGGTAATGATGTCTAACTCATTCCACCATCATTCCTTTCCCTATGCCCCCTCCCTTCCGCTCTCTCCCCTTTGCCCTATTTAAATTCCTCCATTCCAACCATGCTCCCCCCACTCCAATTGCCATTATGTCAGCATCCTCATATCAAAGAAAACATTCAGCCTTTGGCTTGGGGATTGGCTTGCTTCACATAACATTATATTCTTCAATTCCATACATTTACCATGATTTTATTCTCTTTTAATGCTGAGTAATGTTCCATTGTGTATATATACCAAAGTTTCTCTATCCATTCAGGTACTGAATGGCATATGGGTTGGTTCCATAATTTAATTATTGTGAATTGTGCTGCTATAAACATTGATATGGCTGTGTCCCTGTAGTATGCTGTTTTTAAGTCCTTTGGGTATAAACCAAGGAGTGTGATAGCTGGGTCAAATGGTGGTTCCATTCCAAGTTTTCCAAGGAATCTCCATATTGCTTTCCATATTGGCTGCACCAATTTGCAGTCCCACTAGCAATGTGTGAGTGTGTCTTTTTCCCCACATACTCGCCAACATTTATTGTTGTTTGTATTCTTGATAATTGTCATCTGACTGGAGTGAGATGAAATCTTAGAGTAGTTTTGATTTGCACTTCTCCTATTGCTAGAGATGTTGAACATTTTTTCATAAGTTTGTTAATAGATTGCATATCTTTTTATGAGAGAGTGGTACAGAACAGAGAACACATAGTCCAACCCACATAACTATGGTTTTCCTATATTAGACAAATGCACCAAACATGTAGATTTAAAAAAAGATAACCTCTTCAACAAATGGTGCTGGGAAAACTTCAAATACACAGGTAACAAAATGAAATTAAACCTCTGTCTCTCACCATGCACAAAACTCAACTCAAAGTAGATCAAGGACCAAGAAATTAAACCAGAAATCTTGTGCCTAATGGAAGAAAAAGTAGGCCCAAATCTCCATCATGTTGAATTAGGCTGCAACTTCTTTAATACAATTCCTATAGCCCAAGAATTAAAACTAAGAATCAATACATAGGATGGATTCCAACTAAAAAGCTTCTTCTCGGCAAAAGAAACAATCAGTGAGGTGAATAGGGAGCCTAAAGAATGGGAGCAAATCTTTACCACAAGCACATCAGATAGAGCACTAATCTCTAGGGTATGTAAAGATTTCAAAAACCTTAACACACACACACACACACAAAAAAAAAAAAAAAAAAAAAAAAAACACAATAATCCAGTCAACAAATGGGCCAAGGAACTGGGGTATAATCTTTTAAAACATTATTTACATTCTTATCACTATCCCTAGATTAGTGTACTTGCAAAATCCATGTGGATTTTTTTTTCATGTTTCCAAGTATTGTTATCTTCTTTAATTTTGTGTGTGACAAATTTCTTTGGAACAATTAAAGTACTGAAGGAAAGGGGAGGGAGCAAAAATTGGACTTAAGGCCAAAGATTAAGAATTACCTACATTTAATGAATGTTTCAGTGGGAAAAATATCTTTTAAAAAGACTGAAAGCATTTAAAAAATGGAACTAAGACAGGTAGAAAGGAAATTGGAAAAGTGAATTATTTATCTTTCTAGAGCCAAAAATTGCATTATATAATTCTACAGTTATAAATGTCATCATGTGTCAATAATGGCATTCATGAAAAAGCATTTGGTCATGTTATTGAGGATTTATGTGTGGATCAGAAGGTCTTACTTTTGAGAACATCCACTTTATTAATTTTAGAGATTATGATTAAATTAAAATGTTGCTGTGAAACTTATTTAACTAATAGAAGAAAAGTATCAGAAACTGATACTAAAAAATATTTCCATAAATATTCCTATTTATAAACACTGAGTTAGTGTTTATAAACACTAATATATACATTTGGGGGAAGGGTGTCATATTGCATGGACTTCAATTTCTATTTTAAATTGCCTCAAAATAGTCGCAAATAACAAAATATTTAAAGTATTTACTTAATGGACACATGCATGAAACTGTTAACAATAAGATTAGAGTACAAGTTGTAATTGGCCTAGGCACTTTTCATAGTCATTCATCATTTTCATATTAACTTCTGAATTACAACAATGAATTCTAATAAGTGATGCTGGGGTGCAAAAATGAATGACTATATACCATCTGCCATTAAGGGATTCATATTTTATGAACTTTTTATTGAATTTTCACATCCACAAAGCACACATTGTACATGTGCAGCTTGATTAATAATCACACCTGTATAACCAGCATATAAACCAACACATATTATCAGCACTTCAGAATTCCCACTTAAATTTATTGCAATATACCACAGAGTAATAACTATCTTGACTCTTAAGCATTATATCCGTTTTTCCTGCTTTTTATCTTTATGACTGATTTCTTTCTCTAATCTTCATTTTTAAGATTCTTCCATATTTTTGTATACAGTTGTAGATTGCTCATATGTATGACATTTCACTCTATTAATATATTGTATTTAATTTTATATTGTTTATAGACATTTTTTGAGTGTTCCACATTTTAAATAAGACACAGACAAGTAGACATGAATGATACATTGTTATTAAGAGAGACTGGTATTAAGACTTTTAGGCACCCAGAAGAAGACAGGATCAAGTCTACAGGAGGCCCAGGAAGAAATATCAAGTTGTTCTTATAGCAACACCAACAAAGCAGGATACCTCTGGAAAAGAGTGAAAATGCAAGATGTTTTTAAACACAAGACTGCAGGCATCCTTGATTTGGAAGATGAGATTCTGATTAACAATTCTTCCTTTAAAGCATTCATGCCTTTATCATTTTTCTCCCAGTGATCTTGAAAATATCTTGTCAATAGATCTAAAATTACCCTTACTATAACTTTAGATAATTCTGAAGTGTCAACATTTTTGTTCCTTAGCAATTTTGTTCTTAAGACAAATCAATATCCATAAGAGTGTAAACATTTATATAACCTATAAATTAGATGTTTTCTTCCTTTTCCATATTCCCTAATTCTATTATAGGGTTTTGTTTATGCTAAGAAAGCACTCTATCACTGAGTCATGTTCCCAGCCCTTGATATTTGTGTGTGTGTGTGTGTGTTGCTTCTTTTCTCGTAGTTGTTGTCTAAATCATTTATTCATAACTCATTTGGCTACCTACCTAATGTTTAGACTTTGCACCATTTCAGGAATCAATCATATGACCCAGGAAACATAAATTCCCCCATTTATTTGCAATCAGAGAATGCAACACCATTTCTTTCCTCCCCCTTGGAAATGCCAGTTAAGTAACTTACTTTAATTCATTAATAATCAGCTCTGCATCTGTTACTAAAAGTAAAGTTTCTATTTACTGAGAAATTACTGCAACTGGAAAAAGGGAATTTTTATTGATGTTTTGCCATTTTCCACTCATGGAATCCACAGAAAATATTGTCTCCATGAGTGAATTATATTTTTACTCCTCCATTCATCAACTGTCAATATATTTTAAAAAAAACACAATACCATCACTGATGAAAATATTTTTTCCTCCTCCTTGTCCTGCTACAGAGCACCACCTGCCCAGTGCCTCCTACTCCTGGATTTGCTTTTCTTCACATGCTTATCACCCGAAGAGCACTACTCCCTCTATAAACTCTCTATCACAGGTTTTCTTGGGTTTGTTTCCTTTATACCAATACCTAGATAATACCCTAACATTTTTTTCACCAAGAAGGTGGTCATAATTAGTATTGCTCTCTGGAATATTCAAATGGTCAGAAGAAAGTTTTTTGCTATAAGATAATTGTACATATGGGTGAGATACTTTGTTAGTAATCTCCTATAAAATGTTATAAGCAAGGGACATTAAGACAGATAAAAGGGATTTAGATAACTTTTGAAATGAATGAATTATCATGAATCCAATTTTCCATGTTCCTTTTGCTTCTTTCTCTAGTGTTTACTTCAACATTTCATCAATATCCATTATTGTCTGAGCAATGATCTATAGATACAAATTTATGTTAATCAGGTAGAGTCTCTGAGCTTTAAACACAATTGTGTGTTTGCATACTGCATGGGGAGGGTTATTTGTGTGTATATATAGTACAGATAAGGTCCACATTGTCCTTTTATTTCTTTCCTTTTTCTTTCCATTTCCATTCACCACTTTCCTCCATAATTTAATTTCCATAAGATAATTTTAAACTTCTAAAAGCCTCTTAAATTCCTAAATTCTTAGATTGTTCAAATAATTATGGAAAATTGATATTATTCATGTTTGTTGTAAGGACTAGAGATAATTTTTCCCAAGTTAAAAAAAAGTTTTATAAATAGTGGGCAATACTGCAACAATTGGTTTCACTATTATTCTCTATCTCATTTTGTAATTATATGACTGAAAATCAATGAATGAACAAATTTTAATCCTTTAGAGTAATTTTTAATATTTTGCCATATATTTTGGCAAATTTATGTGTTTATTGAGTATATATTACCAATTTTCTATTTCACCTTGCATATTATCATTCAATCAACTGGGATTAATTTCCAGTACTGTATTCAAAGGCTAGCAGACACATAAGTTGATAAAAATTCAGGAGGGTTCTGGTATTGATGATACTGCTGATAAGAAAAAGTAGTTAATGAATAGAGAGCTAAAATTATTTCATAATATTGGTGATATTGATAATGTATCAAAGAGGAGAAGGCTAGCAAAGTTTAAAGTCACATGCAGAACATTTCATTTTAATTTAATTTATAATTATCTTTAGGGACTTATCCTTGGATGTCACTTATCTGAAGTTCTCTGTAGAAAGTGTATTTCAAATTGTCAGATTTGCAGAAGAACCTGTATTGAAAGGTATAATATTCCTTATATTATCTTTAGGTCTCAAAGGCTGCAGAAAACTGGTGACTTGCAGTTTTGATGTAAATACCAAACTAAAAAACATGGACTCATGCATTCCTAAACAGGATGTACCTTTCCAATAATAGTCAGTCTCACCCCTCTACCTTCTTGTTGCTGGGGATCCCAGGACTAGAGGCACTTCACATCTGTATCGGCTTTCCCTTCTGTGGTGTATACTTGATTGCCCTCGTAGGGAACTTCACCATTCTCTTGGTGATCAAGTCTGAGAGCAGTCTTCATCTGCCCATGTTCTACTTCCTGGCCATGTTGGCTACCATTGACTTGGGGCTCTCCACAGCGACCATCCCTAAGATGCTTGGGATCTTCTGGATTAATCTCAGAGAGATCATCTTTGAAGACTGCCTCATCCAGATGTTTTTCATTCACAAATTCACACTTATGGAGTCAGCAGTCCTCCTAGCAATGGCATATGACCGCTATGTGGCCATCTGCAACCCTCTCCGATATAGCACTGTCCTCACCAACAAGGTTGTGTTTGTAATTGGTCTTGGTGTGTTAGTGAGGGCAATTATATTTGTCATTCCATTTGTATTTCTCATACTACGACTGCCCTTCTGTGGGAACCACGTCATCCCCCACACCTACTGTGAGCACATGGGTCTTGCTCGCCTGTCTTGTGCCAGCATCAAGATCAATATCATCTATGGTTTATGTGCCATATGTAATCTAGTGTTTGACATCATCGCGATTGCCCTTTCTTACATCCAGATTCTCCGTGTTGTTTTCCGTCTCCCTTCACAGGAAGCCCGACTCAAGTCCCTCAGCACGTGTGGTTCTCATGTTTGTGTCATCCTGGACTTTTATACACCTGCCCTCTTTTCCTTCATGACACATCACTTTGGTCGAAATGTCCCCCGCTATATCCATATACTCCTGGCCAATCTGTATGTTGTAGTGCCACCAATGCTCAACCCTGTCATCTATGGGGTCAGAACCAAGCAAATATATGATCGTGTGAAGAAAATGGTACTTCAGAAACGAGGAACAGAAAAGGAATAGCAGCTATTATGAAGACAAACAACAATAAGTATTGGGAGGATATGGGGAAAAGGTATACTCACACATTGCTGGTTGGACTGCAAATTGGTGCAGCCAATATGGAAAGCAGTATGGAGAGTCCTTGGAAACCTGAGAATGGAACCACCATTTGATCCAGCTATTCCTCTCCTCAGACTCTACCCAAAGGACTTCAAAACAGCATACTACAGGGACACAGCCACATCAATGTTTATAGCAGCACAATTCACAATAGTTGAACTGTGGAGCCAAACTAGATGCCCATCAGTGGATGAATGGATAAAAATATGTGGCATATATACACAATGGAATATTACTCAGCAATAACAGAGAATAAAATCATGACATTTACAGGTAAATGGATGGCATTGGAGAAGATAATGCTAAGTGAAGTTACCTAATCCCCCAAAAACAGATGTCGAATGTTTTCTCTGATATAAGGAGGCTGACTCATAGTGGGGTAGGGAGGGGAAGCATGGGAGGAATAAGTGAATTCTAGATAGAGAAGAGGAGTGAGACAGAAAAGGAGGGGGCAGGGTATTAGCAAGGATGGTGGAATTTGATGGATATCATTATCTAAAGTACATGCATGAATACACGAATTGAGTGTCAACCTACTTTATATACAAACAGAGATATGAAAATTTGTGGTATATATGTGTAATAAGAATTGTAATGCAAAAAAAAACCCCACAGTACATGTATGAAGACATGAATTGGTATGAACACACTTTATATACAAATATAGGAAAAATTGTGCTCTCTATGTGTAATAAGAATTGTAATGCATTCTGCTGTCATGTATTTAAAAAATAAAATCAATAAAAAATAAAAATAGAAAAGAAAAGGAATAGCACCTAATACAAAGAAATTGTAGAGAAATGCTTTATCATAAAAACTAAGGCAGAGAAATGCTTTATCATAAAAATTGTGTTCTAATGCTTGGCTACATTGGTTCTTTCAATATTTTTATTATATTGAAATATACTCAATATTTAAATGCATTGCATTTCCACATGATTTTTATACCATTTCTTCTCATTATCTGTTGTTGGATTCTGTTCTCCCACTTTGATTTTCTTGTATTTTTATTTTAGAAGGTTATCTAATTTTCTCTATTTTTTAAATTTATCTAGCTGATATTTGTGCGGCAGATTTTATCTATTGTGACTAGAGTAATTCATATTTCCTGGAGATTCTTCTCTCAATACAATTATATTTATTTTCTGAATCTTTGTTTCCATAATTTGCAAGATGCTTGGGAGAAAATGGTGACTTTGTTATTTTTCCTGACTCTGAAATTTATAGTTCTAAATTATTCAACAAACTCAATTTAAAAATATCCATCTCTTTATATCATTAGAATTTACATTTGTCTTCCCTTTCAGGAAGCATAACATTTCTATTCATAGTAATTCAGTAATTTTAGTATAAGTTTGCCACTAAAGTCATGCACATTTAACACAATCATTGTTATTTTTTTATCCTCTTCAGTCAACTATCTTATAGGCACCGCGTGTTTTTTCAGCCTGAGCTGTGGCTCCTTTACAACAATAATTCTCTGCTTTTGGATTATATTGCTATTATTATTGCATGTCTTATTTACTTTAATTTTATACATGTTTACAATAACTTAGCCATTACCTTAAAGGTGTTTATGCAAACTGTCAAATCTAACATAAATTAACAGTCTTACTTCTTTATGTTAGTAAGGATCTTAGAAGAATTTTAGTGTATTTACCTACCTTTTGATTTATATACTATTGTGGGTGTTATCCACTTTTCCTTATACATTTTAAATTTTATACACATCTGGTTGGTGTTACACAGTCAATAGTCATTTTAATTTTCCCAAATATTTACTTTTTCATTCATTCCTCCCTGAATCATCAAAATTCCATCTGTAGCAAATTTATGCATTTCTGAAGAATAAACTTAACTGCTCATTTAATATAATTTGTTGGGAAAAAATGTCCTTGGTGTTTATTTTCCTAAAATAACTTCATCTTCATTTTAGGATTTTTTGAGGATATATAATTCTAAGTTAACTTTTTCATTTTCTTTCAGTCTTTTGAAAGTGTTTTTGTATTACATTCTGCTTCCCAGGTTTTGGCTGAAATATCAGTTATAAAATTCATTGTTATTCTTTTAAAGGTAATATGTCTATTCCCCTTGATGGAATTTATGATTTTCCCCTGGTGATGAGTTTATTTGTATTTTACTTATGTTTTAATTGCTTTTTTAATCTTTTACTTATTTCTTTAGTTTTGCAAAATTCTTTGCCATTAATTCACGCAATATTTTACATGTTCTTTCCTTTAATCTCCAATTTCATGAGTAGATCTTTTTATTATCTCTCCTGTTACATTAATCAATATCTTAAAATTTTCATCCTTTTTTCCTCACTATTTTAGAGATTTTATTTTACTGATTTTTCATCCTTAAGTCCATCTCATTTTATTTTAAGATATCTTTATTTTAAGTTATAACATCTATTTTCTTATACCATTCAACTGTGTTCCAACAATATCAGTGTCTTATTTTATGCTTTTGGATACATAATTTAAAACTCTGTTTTTGTTTGCTGTTAACTCTAGGACCTGTGGCCTGTGGGAATAATCATATTGCCTATTGGTTGTCTTCTTGATTTTTTATTGAGATTACATGTGTTACTACATGACCAATATGACTCTCCAACATGTACACTCAGAAAAATGAGAAATTATATCCCATCTATGTATGATATATCAAAGTGCATAAATGCATTCTATTGTCATGTATAATTAATTAAAAAAATAAAATGTAAAAAAAGATTATTATCATTGTTATGTTTTGTTTTATTTGGCCAATTGTTTTCTTAGATAGTTCTAGATGCTCTATATTAAAAATATACATGTGATATTAAGTCTAGAAGGATGTTTGATTCCTTCAGAATTTTTTAGCTTTTCCAAAGACTAGAGGATGTGGTACTCCTGAATCATGCCAGTCACTTAGGGCCTGGACTTCTTCTTCTTCACCCCAGTTACTGTTTTCCCTTTAGGGTTCAGATGCCACACATAGATTCTTCCCAGAATCTCCCTCATGGACAGATTATAATATTCATTGTTAATCTTCATCACCCAATAGATATCTCCAACTCTTTACATAGCCTTTCATTTTTTTGGCTTCTTTTTCATAACTGTTAGATTTCCCCAAAGGAAAAAGCCCCTATATTCTAGATAAGTTTCTTGTAAATTGACTGTAATTTTTCAATTTAATTCCTGACTTAAGATAATTTATTTGATTTTCTAGCTTTTCTTAGTGTAAAAATTAATTCTAATTTTCTAACTTACCACTATTAAATTGTACTTCTTTTATAAAATCAGCACCACAATTATCTATGCTTAGTCTTCTTATAGATGTAGCTTATGAAGTATTTCCTAGCCTGATGCTTCATGGTTTCCTATTATCAACATGATTTGATGCCTTTTATTTTATTAATCACATTGTAATAGTATCATGATTTAATATCATCAGAGAATTTACTGGATTTTTTTTCTCATCTTCCACAGAGTTGCCATATTCTTGAAAATATATTTGAAGGTAGGAATAACATAGTCTAACTGTTAAAATTAGCATGGAGATTTAAATGAGAGGGTGAACCCTTGAAAGGAGAAGAGAACATACTTAAGATATTCAGATATAATGTAAATAAGAACTGGTAGACTTGTCATACTCAGACGATTTTACAGATAAATACTATTTAAAAGGTTCATAAGAACCATAACTGTAACCAGGGACAGTGACATATGCCTATAATCCCAGCAGCTCAGGAGGCTGAGGCACGGTTGAGAGTTCAAAGTTAGTCTCCTAGAGAAGTCCTAAAGCAATTCAGTGAGAACCTGTATCTAAATAAAATACTTTTTTTAAAAAAAAAGGCTGGGAATGTGGCTCAGTGGGTAAGCACAACTGGGTTCAATAATTTAAAAAAATGAAAGAGGGAGGGAGGGAAGGAGGGAGGAAGGAAGGAAGGAAGGAAAGAAGGAAGGAAGGAAGGAAGGAAGGAAGGAAGGAAGAGAGAGAAAAAATTGTAATTGTAAAGAAAACACAGGAAGGTAAGAGTCATTTAGGGAATAGGCTGGAATAACCTTAGAGTGTGTCCTGTGGCAGTAGTTCATTTTGAAGATAGTAGAGTAATAAATGGGTTTCAAATTGTCTCACAAGCCATATAGCCAAGTCATTGCTTTAGGGTAGAGAAGATTTTATTGACTTGTTGTTCTGATTCTTGTTTTATAAAAATAAAACAAAACAAAACAAAACTCTGATAATCTATACTGAAATTGGAGATCCTAGGTGTTTATTTATATTTTAAAATATTACCTTTTAAATTCTTTGGAATAATTCTGATTTGATTTTGAATATAAAAAGCACACAGAACATTAGACTGAAATATAATAGATAATCCTTGTGTATGTGTGTGTGTATCTTCCTCTAATAATTATATTTCTGCAACAAATATGAAAATTGCCAGAAAAGGATGCTTCACAGAGATGCCTTAGTATTCACAAAATTTATGATAAATGAATAAAAATATTATAGTTGTTAATCAAGAGGTATGCATGATGGAATGGGTTTTGCAATCATTGTATTTGAAAAACTGGACTGCTTGAATTGTTACTGTTACAATTATTATATGAAATGAAAAAATTAAAACCTAGATAGGTTAAATTGCTTCCCTGGATGTGATGCAACTATTTATGACATAAAGTTACAATTGTTTACCATGATACAGCTGGTTCTCTTTATTTTCTTATTTTTATTATCCTTTCAGACTTTTTCATCATTAAATGTATTTCTTCAATCATATCTTTACATCCTTTCCCAAAGAATTTTATTTTACCCAATATATATAAACTAGACATTCTTCCTAAGCCACATTAAAGTCCCAAATTACTTGACTCCTCTAGGTTAATTCATACTCCTCAATTTCCTAAGTTACAATA